AAGGGGAGGAGGCATGCAGAACTCAGCAATCTTTCCCAAGGACAGGATCATTGAGCTGTTGTTAGGCCCATGTCAGTGATTCCAGGGCCTCCCAAAGGCAATGGCAGAGGGGACTCAACAAAAGGGGAGTGTAGGGAAGGGGTGACGAGGTGGCTTGGGCTAGACCAGTGATGGTGAACCTTTTGAGCTCGGCGTGTCAGCATTTTGAAAAACCCTAACTTAACTCTGGTGCCGTGTCACATATAGACATTTTTTGATCTTTGCAACCATAGTAAAACAAAGACTTATATTTTTGATATTTATTTTATATATTTAAATGCCATTGAACAAAGAAAAATCAACCCAAAAAATGAGTTCGCATGTCACCTCTGACACGCGTGTCATAGGTTCGCCATCACTGGGCTAGACAGCGGTTCTCAGGCCTGGGCCTGCGTCTGAATTGCCAGGAGGGCTTGTGCCAGCAGCCCAAGCCCTTGCCCAGATAATGCCCATGGGGCTGGCCAAGGAGTGTGCTCACAACCCCGGGCCGGAAGCCAGGGCACTGGGAGCCCAGCTTCCCTCTGTGGACCCTGGGAGCCGCTGAAGGTTCTGGAGTGAGGGGCAGAGCTGGCGAGCGGAGCGGGGGAGGGGGGGACACACAGACAGATGGGAGGGCTGCTGAGGACCTGGGCTCCCAGAGGCTTGGCAGGAACCGAGGGCAGCGGCCGGCTCGGAGCGGGTTCATTCGGGGCCTGTTGGGCGGTGCTCCTTATGGCTTTGTTCCACGCATGCCCACATCCCAGTGTCCACCAGGCGTGCCGGGGCCCAGTCCCCGCCCCCCACACTGACGACCTTGGCCTCTCAGCCAGCCCGTCCTCTCCTGTCAGACCCGCCAAGTTCATGGGGATAAATGCAGACCTTGTTTATTTTGTGAGGCTGTGCCCATTTGCTGCGTTTGAAAAGGTTAGAAAAATAATCCAGCACTCTTTTTTTTGAGGGGAAGAAGGGAGTTCTGCTTTTTATATGAATGAACTATTTCATTGAGGCACTTATTCAATTGCCCTTTAAAAATGAATTTTGGTATCTACATCTGTTGATCTTAACTTTGAGTGATAGCCTAGCATTGTTTGTATTTGTTATATAAACCCTGTTCCTTCAAAACAAAACAAAACACAACACTACCTAGCATATAAAATTATTATTTTTTAAATATATTTTTATTGACTTCAGGGAAAAAGGAAGAGAGAGAGAGAAACATCAATGATGAGAGAGAATTATGGATCGGGTGCCTCCTGCATGCCCCCCACTGTGGGTTTTGAGCCCGCAATCAGGGCATGTGCCCTGACCGGGAATCAAACCATGACCTCCTGGTTCATAGATCCATGCTCAACCACTGAGCCACGCCGGTGAGGCTAAAATTATTATTTTTTAAATTAAATTTATTGGGTTGACATTGGCCAATAAAATTATATAGGTTTCAAACATACAATTCTATGGTACATCATCTGTATATTGCCTTTGCGCCTACCACTTAGCCACATTGTCTTCCGTCACCATATATTTGACCCACTTAAAGTTAGTTTTAAAAGTTGAAGTGAATTTAGATTAATCTTGGTGTGCAATTCGGGGGAAAGGTTTCACAGGACCCTCGTCATAATGAATAGTTTTATCTGGGGAACCAGGAAAGCTGGTGGGAATAGTCAGGGCCACAGCTTTTCAGTGATGATGAAAGGAATGTTCGTGCTGATTAAAGATGATATTTGGGCCCTGGCCGGTGTGGTTCAGTGGACAGAGCGTGGGACCGAGGACTGAAGGGTGCTGGATTCGATTCCGGTCCAGGGCACGTACCTCGGTTGCAGGCTCAATCCCTGGCCCTGGGTGAGGTGTGTGCAGGAGGCAGCCAATCGATGTGTGTCTCTCACATCGATGTTTCTCTCTCTCTGTCTCTCCCCCTCCCTTCCACTCTCTGTAAAAGTCAGTGGAAAAATATCCTCGGGAGAGGATTAACAATAAAAAAAAAAAAGATCTTACATCTGCTCTTGCCATTCACTCCTGCTGCATGGGTGGGTGTGAGCTGGACCTGAGGGACAGGGACTGAGGCCTCCAGGTGGCACCAGCGCGCTGCTCTGTGCCCAGACTTCCCACCCAGCGTCCTCACTGGATGGTCACTGAGTGACTGGCACGCGGGTGCTGAGAGGCCTTGTCTCTTATCGTCACAGATGTACCCGTTTCAGGCTGCAGGTGCCTGCGGACAAGCAGCCAGAACCTTCTCTGATCCCAAATAGGTTCATTGTGCCCCAGGAAGTTCACAGGCCTGGACAAAAGCACATCTACTCCAGGCAAATGTCCCTGTCCCCTAACCCTTTCCACCGGGTTTCACTTGTTTATTCTTTTTATATATCTTTATTGATTTCAGAGAGGAGGGGAGAGGGAGAGAGAGAGAGAGAAACATCAATGATGAGAGAGGATCATGGATTTGCTGTCTCCTGTACGCCCCCGGGCATGTGCCCTGACCAGGAATTGATCGAACCATGACCTCCTGGTTCATAGGTCGACGCTCCATTCTCAACCACAGGCTGGGCTGTTTATCTGTGTGTTATCTTTCTAGAAGGAAGGACATCATGGCCCAGTAACCCCAGCCATGCCTGAGGCATTCCAGAGTGTAATGTCCCAGAGTATAAGGCACACGCCCCTCCTCCTCCCCCCAGTCTTCCTTTTCTCTCTGCCTCTGTTTCGATCAGTCTAGTCAATTTCCTTCATTAACTAGCTGTGAAGGTCTGGAGATGAGAGAAGTGATGGATATTGTAGCCCAGAGAAAGCCATCTGAAACGGACACTCACAGGGCCAGGACCTTCCTTATGAGGATCTTGAGAAATGCCATGAGGTACAGTCTTGGTCTTACAACCCCTTTACTTCTGCGGCACGAAGAATCCGTCTGTTTTTTGTTTTAGTTCATGGAAAACTGTTGTAAAGTCCACACTGCCCGTGTTCTGCCACCCAAGGGGGTTTAGGTTGTAAATGCTTTCTGGTTTTTCCTTTAATCTTCTTTCTTGCATAATGTTGTTTCTTTTTAAAATATATCTTTATTGATTTCAGAGAGGGAGAGAGAGATAGAAACATTAATGATGAGAGAGAATCATGGATCGGCTGCCTCCTGCACGCCCCACACTGGGGATCGAGCCCACAACCCGGGCATGTGCCCTGACCGGGAATCGAACTGTGACCTCCTGGTTCATGGGTCAACGCTCAACCCCTGAGCCATGCCGGCCGGGCATCAACAGACATTTAGAAAGCGTGCTTGTGCCCAGGGACGGCGGCAGCACCTGGACACGGTGCTATGCATCAAGTAGAAGTCGCTGTGACTCGTTGGCCGCCTCGGCATGACCATGTCCTGTGCGCAGTCCCTGAGTCGCATGCGCTCTCTTTCAGGAGGAACGAGCTGAGCTGGAGGCCCCACTCCTGGCACGCCACCAAGTTCTCCGACAGCCACCCCGAGACGCCCACCTGCCAGCTGTCCTCCGCCGGCGCCTGCCCGTCCTGGCACGGCCGACACCACGCCAGGTAGGCGCGCTGCCCGCACCATGGGAGGTGTGACTCTGCAAACACGCCTAGCCTCCCAGCCCCGTCGGCACAGCGCCTTCCTTGAGTTTAGAATGATTTTGTTTTTCTGATGAGAAAAAGCCACGGACACACCACTGCTGCGGGACTCTCTCAATGTGCTCGCCCTGCAGGCACCTGTGCAACATTTGAAAACAAAAGCTCGGGCACCACAGGACGGATGATTTGCTTTCCGGTTTATGTTGTTTAGCGGATGAATCAAGAGCCCGGGGCTGAGTTCCTCTGGGCCACTGGGCCGGTGGTTCCGAGCCGCCCTGTGCCCACAGCCACGCCCGTCTTGGGAGATGTTTACGAGCAGGTTGAGGCCGCAGCTGCGTGGGTCGGGCAGGTGTATTTTGCAGAAGCTCCCCCAGGTGCTGCCGTGGAGGGGGGGAAGCCAGGGGCTTTCCAGCCCACATGCCAGGGCGGCTGCCAGCCTTGAGCCCACCCGTGCTCGCCCACGGAGTGTGAGACGGGAGGTGGCGGCGGTGAGCCGGTGGAAGGGGAAGTGCTAGTCGACCTGGCCTACCTGGAACCTGCGTTTCACGGCCGGAGGGCCAGCGCCCGGGGAGCACGTGACACACCATGGTGGTGGGGGCTTAGAGAGGCTCCTGCTAGTCACAGGGCACTGACTGGTTCCCTCAGGTTAGTGGCCAATGTCCTCTCTGGTGTCCCATTAGAAGGATGACAGTAATAGCAAATAGTGTGGACTTTATGTGTGTGCATGGGTGTGTGCATGGGCATGCATGTGTACCCGTGCATGCTCAGATGTGTATCTATGTGCATTTATGTGTGCATGCATCCATCTCTGCACACACGTGTATCTATGTGTATTTTATGCATATGTGTGCGTGCACATGTGAGCACATGCATATCAGCACATGTGTATCTCTGTGTGGTTTATGCATGTGTGTGCATGCACGTGAGCATGCATTCATGTCCTCACACGTATATATGCATATGTGTGCATGGGTGCACACACGTGTAAGTTTGCATGCATATCTGTACACACGCGTGTCCCTTCGAACATTTGTTTATGCACATGTGTGCATGCATATCTGCATCCATGTGCGTACACATGTGAGTGTGTCTGCACATCTGCACACATGTCTATGTGTACATGTGTTTGTGCATATGTGGGTGTATGCATGTGTATGTATGTTTGTACTTGTATGTGTGTGTGTTTGGGGCTAAGGTAACCATGTCAAAATCAATATTTGGCTGATAGTACTAGTCTGCTGTGAAATTGCAAAGTCCTCACGTGAAGTGAAGGCAATACGTGTCCACTGTGTATTAGCTCTCCAGCTCTTTACAGTGACAGAGATGGTGGTGATGGGAGCCCAGGGTACTTTTGAAAAACCACATATTTTCACGGAAGTCTTCCCACACAGCTGACAAGCGGGCCTTTTCTGTCATCAGTGAGCTGACTGGCTGGAGTAGGCGCTCCGTGAGGCCCATGTGGTGGTTTCTTGATGAAGAAGCAGGCGTGCTGCCCACATCTGCGTGGGAATAATCCTTACACGTTATTGACATCTCCTGGGACGTAGGTTCTCATGGGAAAGTCACCCCAGGGTGCTGGCAGGAAGGTGGGCAGGAGTGGGCTCCATTTCTGACAGGCTACCTGGTGTCCTCGAGGAAGGGGTGGGCGACACCAGCCTCCCTCCCCCAGGTGACTTAGCCGTTCACTGCGTGTCGTTTTGCTGCTCACGCGGGTTCCTCTCTCATCATGGTTCTCCCCAAACCTAAAGCAGCCACAGGTGTTTGTTGGTTGGTTGGTTTTTTGTTTGTCTGTTTTGGGTTTTGATTGTTTTAATGTTGGAGCGGGAACCCGCTCTGTTGAGCTTTACTGAGAGCGTCTAACATGTGTGGACAGTTCCCCCGTGGAGAGCGTTAGGCCTCACAGGAGAATTGATTCCTGAGTTGTTTACGTAGCTCCCTGCGTGTAACACACCTGATGTTTCGTTTCCTGCTCTTAGACCCCATCCTCGTTCGGAACCTGTATTCTGGCCACTCAGGTGCAGTTCCAATGAGCCCTGCACGGCTTGATCAGGTACCTGAACCCAGCAGCGGTCGGTGGCGCGGATAAAGCCTGTCACCTGAGTTGTCTCATCTACCAGGTGTCCTATGGGCGGCGAGTTGACACTGTGCTATTACTCCTTTTTAAAAAATAATTTTTTGTTAATCCTCACCCGAGGATATTTTTTCAATTGATTTTTGAGAGAGAGAGAGAGAGAGAGAGAGAGACACATCAATGTGAGAGAGACACATGGATTGGTTGCCTCCTGCATGTGCCCCGACTGGGGCTGGGGATCGAACCTGCAACCCAGGTGTGTGCCCTTGACCAGGAATGGAACCCATGACCCTTTGGTGTGCGGGCCAAGGACCTAACCATTGAACCACACGGACCAGGGCTGTGCTATTCTTACTTTAATAGGGGTTGGGAAAGGAATGTTCTGAACTTTCCCTTTTAATTTAAAACTGTTCTCCTTTGATTGCTTTTCTGTTCAAAATCAATAATAAAATCACTTCATACGCTAAACCAGGGGTCCATGGCGTGTTCCGTAGAGGTCAGAGGGTGACTATTTAAACGGGGGCCCACAGTGTGTCCAGTGGAGGTCAGAGGGTGACTGCTTGAACCGGAGGCCCTCAGTGTGTCCTGTGGACGGCAGAGGGCGACTGTTTCAGAGTCTGTGTCCAGGGCTGTTGCGGCCACTCGCGTCCAGCTGGAAAGCAGCCACAGACCGTGTCAGCAAGGGGCTGTGACCCTTCCCACCTGTGAACACTGGGACTTGCACTTCATGTCATTTTCATGGTCTTGTCATATTCTTTTTTAAAAGTATGTTTTTATTGATTTCAGAGAGAGGAGGGGAGAGGGAGAGAGAGAGACAATCAATGATGAGAGAGAATCATGAACGGCTGCCTCCTGCACGCCCCACACTGGGGATCAAGCCCACAACCCGGGCATGTGCGCTGACCGGGAATCAAACCATGACCTCCTGGTTCATAGGTTGACACTCAACCACTGAGCCATGCTGGCCGGGCCTGCAGTGACTCGATTCTAATGCAAGCTCTCCCTCTGCTTCTCGCCTTCCCAGCGCCTCCTCCCAGGACCTGTCAGGTGTGTGGGAGCCGACGAGCCTGCAGCGCACCTCGGACCACTTCAGCTCTCTGGGCAGCGTGGACAGCCTGGACCAGCCCTCCCAGCCCTCGCCCTCCGGCCGCCTCTC